TGCGGCCAAATGCGCACAGCCTACCAATCACACACACACACACACATACACATGCATACACGCACGCATTCACGCACAGCGGGAAGACTGTCCTATTGTTTTGCGAGTGTGTGTGTGTGTTTGTGTCTTGGGGGGGGGGAGAGGGGAGAGGGAGAGGGAGAGCGCACGGTGGTGTGGGTGGTGTTGTCTGTCTGTTGTGTTGGCGAATCCAAATAGAGCTCACTTTGTGGTGTCGGGTGTGATTTTTGAACTGTTCGTGGTCGCAATCATGAACGCTGGTGGTGTGATGTGACGCTGGTTTGTTGGCAGCGACGACTGGCACGAGTGCCCTCAACCTTGGCACACTGCGGCAGTTTGGAGACCACCCCGCCCTTGACCTAGGTGCGCTGTGTGTGTGTGTGTGTGTGATGGTTTTTGCTGTGGTGCTGCAACATGAACAGCGTGGATGTGACAATGTCACAACACCAACACCAGCAGTCACCCACATGCACAAAGAACCCGAATGGTCAACAACCCACGGCAGCTGGCTGTGACCTGCACAAGCCAACACGTCCTTCACACACACACACTCACAAACACACACATTCACACAAACACACGCACTTGCACACACGCACACTCACTCGCCCACTCACCCCCCCCCCCCCCACCACACACACACACACGCACACCTGCAGGTGCAATTGGCGAAAAGCTGTTGGCAGAGCTTTCTCCAACCGTGCACGCGGCAAACCGCACACTGTTGGTGACAGAGCACTTCTCCTTCCACATGTTCGCCACAAACCGCACAGAGTTCTGCCATTATCACCCTGGAGACACGCTGCAGCGCGTGCTGCACGGCGGCGGCCAGTTCTACGTCGACTACGGCAAACCGGTGCCCCAGAACCCAGGCGACAGCTTCTTCATCCCAAAGGGCAAACCGCATGCCTTTGACGGGCAGCTGCACGGCCCCTCGCTTGTCCTCGTGCAATGGTCTCCACCTTACCATGACGGGTACATCATCCCCACCTCCGGTTGCCGCTTCTGAGCCACCTTGACCTTCCCATCCTCAATGCTTCACACACCTCTGTGTGCAACGATGATTCTATTGACCTCACATAATCAAAGACGTGTCTCTCTGTTTCCCAAAGTGTTTCCCAACCTCCTCCCACTGTGCTTTGCTTGCCTCCCTCTCTGCCCACCTCCCCATGGCTTCCTCTGAAACACAAGTATTAAAACTCAATGTACGGTGCACATCATTTCGGAAGTGGTGGAACAGGTTGTAACAGGTGAAAAGGTGGGAGCGCACTTCGATGCTGTAGCATAAAGCCCGCTCGCAGTATGGCAACAGCTCAACACATTGCATTCAAAGCCACGCCTTGATCAGGTGTTAACATGTGCCAAGTCAACACAGGCTACAATACGCACACACAGAGGCGAACACACACATAGACACAGACACACACACACAGAGGCTATCACACACACACAGAGGCTATCACACACACAGACACACAGACACACACAGACACAGACACACACAGACACAGACACACATCGACACACACAGACACACACACACACACACACAGACACACACACAGACACACACACACACACACACACTTCGCGTCACTCACCGCCCAACACGGACAAGTTTGAACTCCGAATCAGCCCCACCCGAGGCGAGGACATGCTTTGTTGGGTGCCATGCAACGCACATGACCCGGTCCACATGCAGCGTGAGGCATGTGAGCAGCTGACCAGTGCGCACATCCAGGATGCGCAGGGAGTGATCGGTGCCCGCCACAGCAAGCATGCTCTCGTCATGCGACAGGGCAGAGTTGAACGATTCACCACCATCGAGCATGTGTGAGTAAAGCAGCTTGCCGCCCGCCACATCAAAGGCACGCACGGCAACTTGGCCGTGTGGCGAAGTGGTGATGCACACGCCACCGTCGCACGTCAGCAGCGGCTTCCACACTAGCGTGTCCTCCAGCTGGATCGCGTGTAACTGGCATTGCTTCTCCATGTCCAGCAGCAGCACGCCCGCCTCCATCTCCGTCGTGATGACGGCAGTGCGACCATCCTGCGACCAGGCTGCGCCGTTGCCCTTGCCTGCAGGCATCACATCCATGCTCACCACAGTCTTCGTCGTCACCTCTTCACCCGGCGATGGCAACGTAACGTCCTCGACCACCACCTCCTTCTTGGCGTTGTCCAGGAAGAGAAAGCGATTGGGGATGGTGGCATGGAAGGCGAAAGCCAAGGTGCCAATGTCATACAGCTCCTTCAGCTGTCCCTCGCTCGACAGCGTGAACAGCTGCAAGCAGACAGGTGCCATGGTGCATTGTCGCCAGCAGGGTGCGCGGGATGAGATGCAAAGGGAAGGCACGAATGGGACTGCGGTGTTATCAGATCATGATAGCCAGGTCACAGTGAGAGAGAGAGAGAGTGAGAGAGAGAGAGAGAGAGTGAGAGAGAGAGAGAGAGACAGAGAGAGAGACAGAGAGAGAGAGAGAGAGACAGAGAGAGAGAGAGAGAGAGAGAGAGAGAGAGAGAGAGAGAGAGAGAGAGAGAGAGAGAGAGAGAGAGAGAGAGAGAGAGAGAGAGAGAGAGAGAGAGAACAGCAAACACGTCAGCAAAAACATACATGCATTTCACGCTTTGCAAATGACACGCGTAACATACGTTGACGTTCGCAAACCAGCTGCTGGATGTTGCCAGGATGGTGCAATCAGCGTTGAACCACATCTGCGTGCACATGCTCACCGCCGCGGTGCTTATCACCTCAAGCGTTGTCATCTCAAACACAAACACCTGCAGAGCACCAGGGAGGGAGGTGAACGTGTAGCGAAGTGCGTTGGCAACGTCACGACAGGACAAGGCACGCCGGTACAAATAAATCAGAGATCACACACACACACACACACACACACACACACACACACACACACACACACACACACACACACACACACACACACACACACACACAGGAACTAGCTCAAGAGCTTACAGTCTTTTCGGCGATAGCAAGGAAGTACTCGCCACTCGCGCTGAAACAGCATGCCTTGAACGACTCCAAACTCCTTTTGACTTTCTACGAACCAGCAACACACAGTCATGTGTGAGCACCAATACGAAGCACGGTGGGGCGGGATAATGTAACCACAGGCAAGAATACATGCACACATACACACACACACGCACACACACACACACACAACACACAGAGCACGCACATGCACACGCAACCCACCTTTGGAGATGCGCGGGCAATGGCGTCGCCCGTGTTTGCGTCCCACACAATAACGCTCGAATCTTGAGATGCTGTGCCAACGTACCGCCCGCACGGAGACATGGCAATCTGGACATCAACACAATAATTGGGCGTGTGCGAGTGCAAAACGGCAGTGAATGTGTGTGAATGCTTGTTCGTGTGTGTTCGTGCACGTGTACATGGGTGCGCGAGTTGTTTGGAACAACGGCAATCATGATGCGATGCATTGTATATAGACACAGAAAGCAAAGGTGTCCCTTCTTCCCCCACGAAGCACAAAGCAAGCAGTTCATGCAGTTCACTCACGCACCTGGAAAATGAGGTTGGAATGCCGGTACTGTGACGAGTCTTTGATGAAGGTGTCGAGGGCGCGCTGAATGTCCCAGCAGCGCACGTCACCGTCACGGCCAATCGTAATCAGCTGATTCTCACCATACGCCAGGCCGTCAGCAACTCCAGCGCCGTGTCCAATCAGGTGTGCAACCTTCTTCTTCTCCGCCACATTGTACAAATGCGCGCGGCGGTCCTCGGAGAACGTCGCCAGCAACCCCGATGGCAGGAAGCGGGCCCTGCACATCAAGGCCGTGTGGTCGCTTGCTTTGAACACGCAGCTGCCCGTCTTCCCGTCGAGCACTCTCGTGCGAAGGCTGCCAACGGTGACAATAAGGCTGGCGTCGTGATTGAAGCGGATGCACGTGCTCTCAGGCGCACCCCGGCCCTTCCACACGCGCTCCAGCGTGTCGTAGTTGACGAGCCAGACAATTTGCGACCGGTCAATTGTGACAACGGTGTTGTTGGGCCGGTACACATCGCATGCCTGTGTGTGTGTGTGTGTGTGTGTGTGTGTGTGTGTGTGTGTGTGTGTGTGTGTGTGTGTGTGTGTGTGTGTGTGTGTGTGTGTGTGTGTGTGTGTGTGTGTGTGTGTGTGTACAAGCGTGCGCATGCCATGTGCACGTGTGTGCGTGTGTTTGTGCAGGTTTTTTTTGTGTGTATGTATGTGTGTGTGTGTGTGTGCAGCGTACAAGTCAGAAATGAGTCCTCACATGCATGTTAAGAGCGCGCCAGCGTGGCCAACACAAGGAAGTGTGAGCAACAGAGTGCAGAGACAAAAGCAGAATCAGCATGCAACAGCAAATGTCCGCTCCCTACCCGTCATCATGTCACGTCACAGCTTCACCACACGTCATCACTATGAAGCCAGGCAGCACGCACTCAAAACGACTCACCACGATGGAGTGAGAGTTTGGAACAACGGATTTGCCCGTGCGCGCCTTTCCTTCGTCCACATCCCAAACAAGCAGCATGCCATCCTCGCTCACTGTCACAATCCCGCGGTCCTCCAAGACCCAGTGCCCATCGTCAATCTGCCCACGGTGGCCAACGAGGTTCTTCAGCTGCTCCCCGCTGGCGGCATCCCACACCAGCAGCTGCTCCGTGAAGGAGCCTGTCATGACGCGGTCGCCGGCTGCACTGAAGCGCGCCAGCAGGCACATGCCGTCGATATGCAGCGTGTGCATGCACTCCATTGTTGTCAGGTCCCACAGGCGCGCCGTGTGGTCGTGCGAGGCCGTTACGGCCACATCCTTGCTTGGGTGCTCCTCAATCATCTTGATGGAGGAGGAGTGTCCCTTAAGACGACCAACAAGCGTCTGCGAAGGCAAATCACACACAAGCGCTACATGCGCGCGTCCACAGCACAGGAGCTGCCGCTGGTTGCGTCGCAGCACAGCGTACATCAGCCCCTCTGGCGAGTCATCGCGCAGCGTGACCAGGCAGGGATCCTGCACCTTGGGACGGTTCAGCCATTCACACAGCACAGGAAGCGTGGCCGCCTGTGTCCTGCGATCATCCTCGTCTGCAACCGCTTCAAAGGCATCACGAGCCTGACCGTGCTCACACGCGCCCTCGTCCTCAGCCGTCCTATCATCGGCCTCGCTCTCGCCTCCATCGCGGCCACTGCTGTTGCCTGTGTGGCACCAGTCCACGTATGCCCGCGCCGCCTTGTGCACGGGGTCGCTCGCATCGCGCTGGAGCGCCAGCTGCACAATGGACGATTTGCCGGGAAAGCGGCGAAGAAGATGCACATTGGCCAGAATAAACTCCACAAACACCGCAAGTGTTGCTTGCTCTTCTGTGCTGCCAATACAGCCACGGTCATCGTTGTCGTTGTCGTTGTCGTTGTCGTTGCTGTTGCTGCTCTTGGCTGCTGCATTTTTGATGCTGAACAACAGCTGCCGACATGCGACGCAGTCATCGCGCAACGAGTCAAATAGCAGCGCGTGTTGTGCTTTGGCCACAAGAAACGCAAAGTTGCCCAGGGTCTCGCGCAACAGCCCACGCACGTCCCGCGCTTCCACTTGGTGGCGAATCTGATGTGTCAGCCGACGAAGGTTGGGTGTTGGCTGCTGCTGCTGCTGTTGCTGCTTCTGCGTGTCAGTTGACGACGCGCGAGCGGGTGCGCTGCTGTCCCCGTCCTCACCAACACCGAGCAAATAGAGCGGCTGTGGGGTGACGTGTCTGTTGTGCAGCACGTGATTGTACTGCACGCCATTTGCGTACTTGTTGCCAAAGTAATCGGAAATTCGGCGATGAAATGGCGTCAGGTTTGCGTCAGCAAGATAACGCGTGTGCACACACTAAAACCCGAACATCAGTGGTGGCATGAACACAAGTGCAGGTGAGTTCGAGACCACATTGGGCATTGACTGGCATGGGGACGGGCAAGCCAATGGTGTGAGCGCAGGTGTACATGCGCGCGAACACACACACACACATTCATACACACACACACACACACACACACACACACACACACACACACACACACACACACACACACACAAAGCCACCCATGTAGGCATGCGAGCAGTAAGCCCTGTGTGCACACGCACCTCCCAAAACTGGCGGTGATACCAGGAGTACACAACAGTGCCAGCGTGGCCACGCTCCACCAAGTAATCGCCAAAGTCGTTCTGCACACGCGCCCACAGGGAAGGCGGCAAGCGACGAAAGGGGGGCACCCACCACTCATACACGCTGTCAAGCACCTGCGACCAGCACGAAACCCATCACACACGTATGGCACGTGAGGCGAATTGAAGCAAAAATACAAGTCTCAAGCAACCGACTCAACATTCTATGCGGAAAGATTAAGATTGACGTCGGCACGAGCACACGCGCGCCCAAGCACACGCGCCCCCAAGCACACGCAGATATGCACAGACACGGCCACACACGCACACGAACACACACACACCCACACCAGCGGTTTGAGCCAAAATGAAACACAACCAGCCAATGCATCACCTCATCGTCGCACGAGAGCAGGTCCTCGAGCTCCTGTGGGGAGAGCCCGGCATCGCCAGCACAGCCCATGTACACACACGCATGACGGACAAGGAGTGCGCCATGCTGCGCCTCCAGCTCATCAAAGAGCGCGTTGATGAGGCGTGTCACTGTTGGTGGGACAGACAGGACGGGTGCGTGCTCGTCCGTGTACGAGTGCCAGTTGCGGCGCGCGTAGTCAAAGGCCAGGCGCATGTACAGCGGCACCGGCTGCGCCCTGAAAGCAGAGAGGAGGCGGTCGCGGTGCGCGGGAATGAACGAGAGCCCGCACTGCTCCTCCCACGCGCTGAGAACGAGTGGAAGATCGTCCACAGCAAACGGCTGCACGTCGAGCCAGAACGGCGCGCCATCTTTGCGGTCGCCGGTGCCGGTGGCGGCTGGAATGCCTGCACGCAACGACGCCAGGCAGGGTCCGACATCCGGCAGCGTGGAGACGATGATGCGGAGGTCGCTGCTGGACCACCGCATGGGCAGCCAGGCCAGCTCACGCCCGTCGTCGGCGTCGGAGAGCTGGTCAAGGCTGTCGAGGAAGAGGATGAGTGGTGCCGTGTCCAAAGCGAACATGATCAGCATGTCGTGGAACAGCTTGCTCAGCTGCTTAAAGGGCAACAGGCGCACCGAGGGCGCAATGGTGGCGCATCTGCTTGCAAGCACGTTTCGGAGGTCCGAAGACATGCAGGCGAGTTGCTCCAGCACGCTCGCCATGACTGACCTGGCATCTGCTGTGGACGCAGACGTACCCAGCAACCGCGCAATCACAACAGGCTGTTTGCCACCACTGCGTCGTGACGAACGAACACACGCGCGTGCTGTTTCCACAGCGGCCGCAGCCATCAGCGTTGTCTTGCCGCACCCGGACTTGCCGTACACAACGAGCGGATGGAAGGTGGTGCGGCCTGTGGTGCCATGACCACCGCCGCCAGCGCTGCTGATGCTGCTGGTCCTGCTGATACACGTGGAATGCTCCTCTTCGTCCCCGGCGCCATCACCACCATCACCACTTTTGCCGTGATCTGCATCACCACCAGTGGCTTCTTTTGCATTAGTGTCCCCGTCGCTTTCGTCTGTTGCTTCACGACCATCAGCGTCATCAGTCTGTCCATCGGTGTGCTGAAAAATGCGGCCCTTGAACGCGTTCGCGCGTACGCCGGCTGCTGGGCGCACAAAGCTGTTGTCCCCAAGTGCGTGCTTCACAATCGCTTCCACCTCTGCGTGTCTGGCGAGGAGGGCACCCGCTTTCCTCAAGCACAGCCGCCACTGCGAACACACCTCGGTCGTCTCCTGGCCAAGGGCAACTTGCGTGTCGATGACACCTTGCACAATCATCTCAGCGAGTGCAGCGCAGGTGCGGTCAGCGAACGTGCGAAGGTGCTGGCAGTACGCGGCGTCATCCAGTCCGGCCAGTTGCTGGTCCATCGGCACGGTGTACTTGTGCACGTGTGTGGGCAACAGGCCGGCCACAGCCACGTCCTCCTTCAGTTTGCGTTGGCGCTCGAACGCGTCCTTGTCCAGTGTGCCTTTGTCGGTCCAATCTGCAAACCCCTTGATGGTGGGGCCGTGCCTGGTATCGGCCTTGTAGTTGTACGAGTCCCAGTCAAACTCGAGGGAGCGCAGGATTGCCAGTGCTTGTGTGCGACGGTCTTCATTGTGCAGGATGCCGTTGATCACTTCCTCGTGCGTCACGCTCATCTCGTACTTGAGCCGCGGCGATAGCCGGGTTTGGCCCTCACTCTCACCAACACCGTCGCCAGCAGAGCCATGGCTGCCTGTGCTTTCCTCGGCAGTGCCATGACCGTGAGCGTGAACATGGTCCTGGTGGGGAAGGGCCTTGCTTGCACGTCGCAGGGCAAGCTGCATCTGCTCAAACAGCGGCCACCACTTGGCCCCGGCAGCGCGTTGCTTGTCGCGGTCGTGGGAGGTGTAGTCGGGGATGATGGTGTCCACAGGCTGCAGGATGTATGCTGGTGGGCTGCAGTTCTGGTCCAGCAAGAACCACTGCCGCAACACGCGCACCGCGTTGTTGTCTGCTTCCTCCGATGACTGTTCCAGCCACTTCAGCATGGCATCGAGCTCGCTTGCGTTGATCTTGGCCGGGAAAGGGCGGAAACCGTAGCGGTCGCCAAGGAACGTGACAAATGCCGGGCCAACAGATCCGCGCAGGCAGCGCGCAATCTCGGCCATGCACAGGGCGCTGGTGCCGTGGTTGTTGCCCGTGGACGACCGCACGCCCCACCGCATGTCAATGACGTTGAAGGACAGGCCGAGCATGGCGCAGAGCTGAGAAAGAAACGGAAACACGTCCTGCATCAGGCAGTTGCGCCAGTCCTTGGTGTCGACAAATGTGCTGCTGGTGAACAAGCGCGTCATTGCCTTCTGCTCCGGCACACGCAAGACGGCGTCCACATCTCCAGCGTGAATCGCGTCCACCTGGCGTAGGCATGCGAGTGACCAAGCGGGAAATTGCATGAGGAAGACAGAGATGTGACTGTGGTGGTGGTAGGGGGAAGGGGAAGTTGATGACACAGGAGCAGGAGGGAACAAAGTGACACGCACACACACACGCACGCACACACACACACACACACTTACACACACACACACACACACACACACATACACACACACACACATCTCACCACGTGTTGGAGAAGCTGCTTTCTGTTGGCGATGCTCGCAGCTTGCTGCGTTTTGCGAAGTAGCTTGCGACCCGAAGACCGCTGGTGCCTAGGACAAGGCCACAGGTCTGCCAAGTCCTTCACACCAACAGTGATGTCTACGTCATTCGCAGACACTCCATGACGTGACACAGCCACCACAGACGCGCTGGTTCCACCACCGCCACCACCATCGTCTTTCACTTCAGTCTGCTTGCTCGCACCACACCCCATCGCATGCAATGTCACTTCTTGAGAGATCGCAGCCAGGCGTGCAACCAAAACGGATTTGGATGTTTGCTGGCTGGGGTGTTCGTTGTCAGTGGTGGTGGGCGGCGCGTTTGTGTGGTGCGATAGTTGCGGAATGATACCGCAATTATTCCACATCCGAGCTGCTGTTTGGAGAAGAACAAGGTGGTGTTGGTGGTGTGTTTGTGTTTGGCTGGTGGGTGGTGGCGTGACGTGTGATGAGATGAGGAGATGCTGTTGTGATGTGATGCTGTGATGTGGATGTGATTCATCATCGTCGTCGTGTGCGCATACATACTGTATGTGTGCGCGTGTGTATGTGTTGGAGTGGCGAGGGTCTCTTCGCCTTGTTTGCTCTCGTCGCGTACACATGCACACCCACACGCACCTTTTTGGCACTCACCTTCACCGCTCTCACGTGTTCCTTGTGTGTCATGTGTCACGTCTGCAAATTTGTGTTTTGTTGTCGCCTCCTCCTTTGTTCACACATGCGCAGTCTGCAGGACACCAAGAGCACCGGAAACAGAGCCACAGCCATGTCTGACCTGAACACGAGCGGAGAGACCGACCCACCAGTGTGGGAGGAGCATGCCAAGGAGTGCAATGCCTGCTGCAAGTCGTTCACAATGACGCGTCGCAAGCACCACTGCCGCGCTTGTGGTCGTACCTTCTGCCAAACGTGCAGCCACCACAAGGATGTGCTGCCTGCGCAATATGGCCTTGAAGGTCCCCAGCGGACATGCGACACCTGTCACCTCACACTCCAACAGGTGTGCTGTTGGTGTGTTTGTGTGTGTGTGTTTGTTTGTTTGTGTGCGTGTATGTGTGCGTGTATGTGTGTGTGTGTTTGTGTGTGTTTGTTTGTGTGTTTGTTTGTTTGTGTGCGTGTATGTGTGTGTGTTTGTGTTTGTGTGCGCGCGCGTGCGTTTATGCTTGTTAGCCGCGTGTCCGCACGTATGCGTTCACGTTTGTACACGTGCGTTCTTGTGTTTGAGATGTTGTTTTGATGGTCTGAGCTGCGTGGTCCTTGCCATGTGCCTGCGTTCGTTTCCAAATGCACAAACTCATAACGTGCAACACCCCCCCAACCAAACCACTCAACAGCTGCGCATCGACGAGAACCCGGATGAGCATCCCCCAAAACCAGGTAAGGCAGAAGGACACCATGACACTCTCTTGATCCCCTGTAGCCCGTGATGTTTGTGGATAGCACTCACGGCACTTGCCGTGTCCGCCGTCGTTCTCGCGGTCCCTCATACGATTGTTTCGGTTTGTTTGTTTGCTTCCTTGTGTCCGCTCATCGCACCTGCTGTTGCGTGCGATGACAGATCCCGTCGCCGTCAAGCAGGAGCTCTTGGAGAAGCTCAAGCCTCTCCTGCAGTGCGTTGACGCTGTCTGCGTAGATATGCGTGTGCATGTGTGTGTGTGTATGTGCGTGCGCGTGTGTGTATGTTTGTGTGTCTTCCATCGTGTGCTGCTGGTGCACGCCAACACAAAGCTTCCACTTCTTGCAAGCGTGTTGTCATCCATGCATCTCACCGCCTGCCGTTGTCCTCTGTACTCCCATTACCGACGCTACCCTTCCCTCCCACCACCATCATGGCAACCAGGGAGCCTGAGGACACGTGGATCCGCAAAGTGGATAAGAACGGCGTGACGATTGACGTGAAGAAGCTTGCCAACAGCAACCTCGTGTGTGTTCGCGCCAGCTACGACGTCCGCGCCCCGCTCGCGAAGGTGCTGTAACCACCATGCTCATTGTACTTTGGACTGCCTTGCGTTGCGCCGGTGCAGCGAGCTGCTGATGTGTGAATGCCAACCGTCGATTGGATGGTGCGCTTGTGGCCGCCGTTGTGGTTGAGTTGTTGTGCTGGTCTTCACATGTGGGTACTTCTTTTCATCTGTTTTGCTCTGGTTTGTTCAGGTTGTTCACGTCTTCAACGACAAAGGTGCGTTCACTTCTCGTGTGTGTGTGCTTATGTGCGTGTGTGTATTTATGCGTATGTGTATTTATGCGTGTGTGTGTGTGTAGGTTTGTTGGATAGTTCATGCTGAAGCGTTACTCAAGCTTTGCTGGCGTTGTTTTGTTTTTTTTTTTTTGCTCGCCCATGCGCTCATGCTGCTAACGCTGCTTGCGTGCCCATATATATCATGGTGCAGATGCGTGGAAGAAGACGCAGCCGGACATGCTCAAGTGCAACACGCTCGAGACAATTGACGACAACTCGGAGTATCTCTACGTCCTCTACAACGTCCCTGTCATGGACAACCGCGACGTCGTCGCTTTCACGTCAGTCGCGGGCTCTGTGTCTGTGTCTGTCTGGCTGGCTGTGTGTGTGTCTGTGTGTCTGTGTCTGGCTGGCTGGCTGTGTGTGTGTGCGTCTGTCTGCGTGTCTGCGTGTCTGTGTGTCCGTGTCTGTGTCGATGTTGGAATCCACCCTCTCTTCCTGTCTCTCTGTGCAACAGGCGTAACCTGTTGTGTGCTTGGTGCAGCAACTCCGCCCAACCCACACACTCAATTCCCCAACTCAATCCCCCCTTCCACCATCACCGCCGCCGCCGCCGCCTGCTTGCCTGCTTGGTCGTGTTGATATTGCCGTGTTTGTGTGGTGTGTGCAGGACCATCTGCGAAGGATCTGTTGAGGACCCGTCCAACACAGAGGAGCGCGTCCTCCTCACCACTTCCGTTCTCCACCCGCTCGCAACCAAAGTCTGAACACTTGCACCACCACCGCCAGTACCACCATAGCACGATGACGACTACCGCCTCCTCCACTACAATCCTATCATGTCATGTCATGGCATGTCATGTCATATCAGCAGCCTGTGTCTCAACAACCCTTGCTCCACCTCACCCACTGCAACACGCGCATGTGTCACCGCTCCAGGTGAAGAAGACGGTGCGTGCGCGCGTGAACATTGGCTACACGCGTTTCACCTACCGCAAGGCCGAGGATGGATCCCACATCACCACCGTCACCTCCGTACGCTCTTCGCTGCTGCACGTTGCATGAAGTGTACAACAGCGGTTGTTGTGTGTCATTGTATATTATTGTGTGAATGTGAGAGTGAGAGAGAGAGTGTGTGTGTGTGTGCGTGCGTGTGTGTGTATGTGGATCCTCTCTCTCTCTGTCTCTCTCTCTCTCTCTGTCTCTCTGTCTCTCTCTCTCTCTCTCTCTCTCTCTCTGTCTCTCTCTCTGTGTGTGCGTGTGCGTGTATTGGACGGGTCACTCAATCCCCCCCCCCCCCTCCTCCGACACACACGTACGTGGGTGCAGATTCAGCACACGGACCCACGGGGCATGATTCCGCCAAAGCTTGTCAACGCGACCATCTCGCGCGCAGGGGACCAGCTGCGGACAATGATCAAGTACATGGAGACGGAGGATGTGGAGTACGCAGAGGTGGCCAAGGGCGCAGGCAACCCGGTCTTCCCCAAGGACACACAGCCTGTGGCTGAGGAAGGGCCATCCAAGCCAAAGGCACAGGTGGCTGTCGTCTAGTTAGGCGAGACAGGTGCTGCGAGTTTGCTTCTCATTTTGTTCGTTCGTGCGACTGTTTTCGGTTGTGGTGGTAATGCGTGCTGTCTGGGCTCGGCCTTTGCTTGTGTGCGTTGTGATATGCGGTGCGGGAATGCGTGGTATGGCTGCATTATGCACATGTGTGCGCGTGCGGTGATGGGCGTGAGTGTTGGCACACGTACATCGCTGGCAGTGCTCCCCTGCACTCCGTCTTGCTCCACACAACGAGCCCCTGCTTGGTCGTCGCTCTTTTGTTCTCCTAAGTTCAGATGTTTGTTCGCTGCCTCTGTGTGCGTGTGCGTGTGCATGTATTCGCTGTGCATGTGTTCCCTGTGCAAGTGTGCGTGTGCGTGTGTTTGCCACCGCCGCCGCCACAGGACCGTGCGCTTGCCTGGTTGTTAGCGTGATTGTGGTGTTTGTCTTCAGATTTTCTCGCTTGAACACTCGGGTTTGAAAGAATAAAAACTGAAATGCAAGTCGATGAAGGGGCAGGAGGGGATGCACCACACGACGGCGACTCAGTCGAGACAGCATAGGCGGGTGGGTAACAAGAGCTGGCATAATACACGAACGCCAGGTCAATCAATGCAGTGGAGGAGGGACAAGGGAGAGGAGGAGGGAGGAGCGAAGAGACGAGCACATATTTGAACGCACAGACACACACACACACACACACACACACAGACACACAGACACACACACACACACACAGACAGACACACACGCACACACAGAGCAACGTTATGCGTCGTACTCCTTCAATATGCGGCGCAGCGCAGCCTGTCGCCACCTGAGCGGCGGGTGTGTCGGCGACGGCCACAGCGGCGGGTTCCCTGTCACCGCAATTACAGCGTCCTCATGCGCCTGCAGCGACTCAAGCCCGCCCTCGCACACATCCCGGCCCACACGCGCCGCCCCCACGTCCGCAGCCATCTCCTATGTGTGTTGTGTTGTGTTGTGTTGTGTTGTTGTTGTGTTGTGTGTGTGTGTGTGTGTGTGTGTGTGTGTGTGTGTGTGTGTGTGTGTGTGTGTGTGTGTGTGTGGGTGTGTGTGTGGGTGTGTGTGTGCGTGTCGGGGTGGGTGTGTCGGTGTGGGTGTGGGTGGGTGGGTGTGGGTGAGAGAGTATGCTTGCTCTACGTTCGGGCCAGATGCAGTGCAAGCGTGGCGCAAGTGTCCCTGAGACAGTGAGCTGGAAATGAAGAAGGCAGGCAGGCATACACACGCACATCACATCGCATACCAGAGAGGGAGCGGCTGCAGACGACAAAGATGTTCTGGGTGTGTGGAATGCCCTGTGAAGTGCACATGCACAGAGAGTGTGGGGTGTGTGAGAGGCTGCAAGCGGTCAGCACGCAGCAAGGCTGTGGCCTACTAAATATGTCAGACACTGGTGGAATCAACGACCAACCAGCCGGGCTGCTGCTTCCCGCACATGCGCCACATCTTTCGGGGGTACGACCACCTGCGACAGTCTGCCAAGGCAAAGATTGGGGGAGGGGGTAGGCAAGAGAGTGCGCGAGCGCCATGAAGGAGCATTATGAGTGCACAGCAATTGTTGCATGTCTGACACTTTGGCAAACACACACACACACACACGTATACACACACACACACACACGTATACACACACATGCACACACACACATGTATACACACACATGCACACACACACACACACACACATGCACACACACACATACACGCACACACACGCACGCGTACTGGAATGGTTTGGACGCTTTGCGCGCTTGGTCGTTCTTGACCAGGATGGCGAGGGCAAACAGGGACGACCCAAGGTACGTCACAGGCCGCAGCACACGCAGCAACATCCCACACAGCGGACGAGTGACGCGGTAAGCGTGCTCATGGGAAGAGGCAAACTGTATCCTAGTCAAGGTTGTGATCTGCGAGGTGGAGGTGTGTCACTGTTCCTGTCCTCCTCTTTGTCGTCACACACTGCTGCTTTTTTTTTTTCCGCTCACCTACGCAGCAACAACAAGCAAGAAGCAAGAAGCGAAGAAGGGGAGGAAGGACTTGAGTGTGCGCTGACAACCACGATAGCCACAACACGGGATGGAGCTTGCGCGTGTGGAGGATGTGTTGAATGAGCTGCCGAGCGATGATGCCTGGCATGCGCTTCCACAGCGTGTCCGCCACGACAACACAAGAGAAGCATTGGCGCTCGGTGCGTTGTGTGTGTGTGTGTTGTGTGTGTGTGTGGTTTAGACACCTGCGTTCCTCACCACTTCTCACCTCACACTGGATCGATACATCCCTTGTTCCACACACTCACTCACTCACACACACACACACACTCACACACACACACACTCACTCACTCACACACACACTCACACACTCACACACTCACACACACACTCACTCACTCACTCACACACACACACACACTCACTCACACACTCACTCACACACTCACTCACACACACACACACACACACTCACTCACTCATGGGCTCGCCCTTGCGGCGATCGTAGGCGTGATCCCCAAGATCGTGCATTACCTGGCAGACGAAGAGCAACAGGTGTGCTATCAACATGTTGTTCAGGTTACTTGCGTGCGTGTGTGCGCGTGTTTGTGGGCTGACGTTTCCTTTTGTCGCGATCGACGCTGTTGCACGCACGGCACAGAGAGCCAAAGAGGGACAGAAAGCACACGTACGCGACACACTCATACATGCACACACGCGATTGTGGGTGGGTGCGCGCTCCCCTCGTTGTACTCACTCATCACCCCACTGACACCATTCATTGCGCGCGATCCAACAGGGAAATGCTGTCCGGGCATTGCTCCACCTGGCACGCATCAACAGGGACTACGTAACAGCCATTAACAACGTACGACGTTGTTGCCTGTAGCTGCGTTGTGTGGTGTACATTGTTTCTGTGTGAGCCTGTATGTGTGTGTGTGAGCCTGTGTGTGAGCCTGTGTGTGTGTGTGTGTGTGTGTGTGTGTGTGTGTGTGTGTGTGTGTGTGTGTGTGT